GCTCGGACGAGAGGGCGGGGGTGGCTCCATGGCTTAACTGTTGCACCAGATTGTGACTGATCATTTTTTTTTTTCTGATGCCGGGCGCTCCTCTGCAAGTGTCGCGCGTGCCTCTTGGTATGGTATGTTGCTCGGTACGCCCTCCCCCCGCGCGGCGGTGTGCATGATCACCACGGAACGAGAGCTCTGTAGAATCCTTTTTTTTTGCCGACAAGAGCCGCTGGTAGACTCTTCCTTGTCGCGGTTGCCCGAGAGTCTCATGGAAGTAAAGGCCAAAGTAAAGGCCGATCGCCTTTCCGCATCCTCTTGACTACGCTGCATCCGCTCTCGGGTTTCTCCCATATCATGTTGTTGTTCGTTGAACGCCTCCCGTCACCCGCTCCCGACCGGCTCACCCTAACCCTCGTTGTGGTTTCGCGGGTCTCGTGCTTGCTTTTTGTTGTTTCGAGAGCAGGGAGGGTTCAAGAAGACGGACTCTGTGCCTGTGCCCGGTCCCCCTTCCCTGGCTGGTGGCTTGAAGGTAATGGGCGGGATGTTTAAACTTCCCCGTTGTTATTTTTTCAATGCAGTCACTCGCACAATTTTGCGTGGAGGGCGTACGGATGTTCAAATGTTTCAATTTCTATTTTATCAATGTACTCACTCGCACGATTATCCGGGGAGGGCGCACGGCTAACAGGTTCGTGTTTGGCTGCGAAGTGAAGGTGTGAGTTTGAGAGTGATTTGTGTGAGGACCCTTGAACTCCAGAGCGTTTTGCGCGAACAGCGGATGGCACAAGAATTTGGGAACTCAGCAATCCCAAAGGCAGCTCGCGGAGAGAAAATAAGTGCCCTCAGTTTTCCTGTTGGTCAACACCGGTCCCGCTGATTTCTGATTGGCCGGGAATCGTTGACCGGGTGTGGGACGTCAGCCATGGGCGAAAATTCACGTTTTGGCTTGGATGAGACCCCCCCTCCCATCTTCTGGCTTGATTTTCCATCTCGGCTTTTGGACCCTCCTCTGCTTGCAAGAGAGGGGGTGGGAAATCTCACGTACCTTGGTGGGATATTTCACATTTCGTCGATTTAGAGACAGCAGTCTCAATACTTCAATTTACCGCCACCTTCGTTCCGGAAGATTTTTTCGACATTCGGTGTGTGATTTTCAGCTCCCTTTGTTTGCTTGAAATGTGATCAGAGAAGCGTCTGTATTTTTCCGATGCGCTCTTCGGGCCCGGCGCTATTAGTAAGACCTACTCTGTCCAGCCGCATGTGATGCCCCTAAAGGCCCTAATCCCGCCCGCTCCAAACACACACCGTCCGTGGCACGAATAACAGGGACTCCTGACCAGCGTGCTCAAGGATCTCGAAGGGGTAAAGGACGGAAAAATGCCGTCTCAGATGACGATCATGGTGCTGGTTGGGTCTCTTCTGCTTCTCCTGGTGCTCTTCGCCACCACCACGCTTTCCAAGCCCCCGCCTCAGGCCCCGTCGAAAAGAGCTAAGACAGACTAGCTTCACGTAGCCTTCGGGGAGATGCTGCAACAGTCTTGGTATGTACGACAGCACTGTATTTATGTGTGTGCCGCGACGTAGCGCAGGAATGAAAGCCGGGAGAGTGGGTGGCCATTTCGCAACGCAGAGCTCTGTTGACCGCGCAGAAATATTCGGGTAAGATCCAGAGTTGAAGATCCAGAGTTGCACCGCAGACCTATAGCTGTGCACGGAGAGCCGCTGCAATGTTGTACCTCCATTCCACAGGAGTAAAGTTGTTTAGGCGGGCCTGATTGGTAGCTCCTGCCGTCAGACGTAGACTTCGCGCGCTTGCTTGCGGTGTGCATTGCGTTATCGGATGGTTTTTGTCGGCAGGTGCCCGGGGGACTTCACTGTTGCTAATGTTTTTTCTCAATGGATTTGGTTGGGTGTTCCTCCTGACGGCGTTCAGTTAATTTTCAGGCCGCAGTTAATTCTGTGTGTTGTTCCCGGCAAGTGTTGTTGAGGGCAAGATTCGGGAGTTACAGATCATCATGCGAAGGTGACGGAGAAATTTCTTGCGGAATCGTTTCCGCTTTGGGAGAGACATGCTTTGCAGATTTTCTTACTCAAACGGTCGCTTGTTTTGCGCCGTCTCTACAGTAGTCCGACGTACGATCCAGTCAGGTTAACACGGGCACTGCTAAATAGTCCGTCCCTGGTTCGGTAGTCTTTCTATCGGAAGGGCGTGTTTGAAGCTGCTTGTTTTGATGCGCTAGGTGTGATGTCTCGATAGTACCGCCGAGAAGTTGATGGTGGTTGCTTGAAATACATTCGTATGCATGCCCTCCCCGCTGCGTCGCGATCTACCCCTTCTTTCGGTTGTGAGACGGACGATTCTCTGGCCGCGCGCTAGCTTCGCCCATAAGAGGGGGCAAAGCACGAAGCCGAGTGAAGTGTGTTCGATGTTTTCGCCCTCTAACCGTGTCAATCCGAGTTTTCGCCCTGACCGTTTCTGTCCGAGCGCTTCGTGGACAAAAAAGCAGCACCATCACAAAAGTATCTACGGTGAAACCGGTGAGCGTGGTGAACAAGGCCCACCATTCCGTTCCTCTTTCCTGATCTGGGGTTCCATGTACTTCGGCGGCTATGAAGCACCCGCATTATCTTTCCCGGTTGATGGCGTCGTTCTCCCTACACGATGTTCTGTGTGGTGACTTTCACCACGACCCCGCGCTCTGTTCATTCGATGCAAAAGTGGACCCCCCGCTCTGTTCATTTGGTTCATTGGAGGCAAACGTGTAAGTGGTATGTGTGCCAAACCGTATGTTTGAAACGAATACCATGAATTACGACGGGTTTTTGTAGCATTTTTGACGACCACAACCAACCGCCGTCATTCGTGAGCGCATTCGTCATTGTTGGCGTATGTTCCTCTTGATTCTTGCCCCTGCGTCGCCGTGATACTCTCTTGCATTTTTAAGCATCGGACGTCAAGGTACGGAATGCAAACCAGACCAGAGGGAACTTAGAACTCGTACAGAAAGGTGACGTGATGATTAATTGTTGGTTGTTGTTGTCTTCACATTAAAAACCGTTCCGTTCTCTCTGCTCAGTACCTTCTTCTGTCCGTACTAGTAGTCTAACACTTGACGGGGTCGATTCCCGTGGTCACGGGCTAACTTACCCAAAAAAAGGTATACGAAAATAAAATGGACACGAAGGGTCCGCAAGCCAATAAAAGTCCACGACAGATAGTCTGGGCCACTCCGCTCGCCTCTCTGCACGCTATGCGAGGTAACCCTTTTAATTGGAAAAATATAGAATAAGTAAAAGAAAAATGAAAAAGAAAGAGAACGAGAAAAAATAAAAAGAAAGAGAAAAAGAAAAAGAAACCGAAAGGAATAGAGTAGATGGAGAGCAAAGGGAAAGAGAAAAGACACAGACAGAGAAAGACACACGCCTTAGCGACAAACAACAAACAACAAACAGAACAACACAAAACAACACAAGACAACGCGGGCCACTCGAGCCAGCCCATGCACGTCACCGCTCGCGGGGGGTTGGTGCAATGGTGCAGTGCTGGGCGTACTCATTTGTTGCTTGCCGTAGTCATTTGACCATTGACCACGCGTCCCTTTCGAGACGGAGCACCGTTCCTACCCCTACTAGAGACACCACCAACATTTGGGAGCTCTTTACGTTTCTGCCACAAACTCCATAAAAATTTCTTGCACATCTTATCCCCGTCCTCTAGGGCCTCTTGTGCCCACCATCTATCCCCAATTAACGCGATCGTTTTTTCGCTGTTGTTGTCTAATTTACCAAACTTGTCCATGTCACACCCTCTCTGTCTCATTTCCTCCTCGAGATCCTCTCTTTCCTTCCTGTACAGCTCACACTCCCCAACTATATGGGGTCTGCTCTCCTCCGATTTGCCACATGGACATGTGTGTCTATCCTCCTCTCCTCTCTCCTACGGCTGGTATACCTCTTCCTCCGTTCTGGCAAGTCCAGATCGCCTACTCGAAATTGCAATTTCAGCTTTTTCGCGTAGTCCATGGGGCCGTCCAAGTACGTTTTCATCCCTCTCCCTTCTTTCAACTTCCCGTATATCTCCAAGTGGTCTTCGCTTCGTACCTTCTTCCGAAGGGTTGCCTCCTCCCTACTTTCTAGCATCTCCTTGACTTTCGTCTTGAACCCCCCGAACCCTTCCGTGTCCAACGTCTCCTCCTCGTCTCCTATCTCCTTCCAAACCTTCTCTACCACCTTGTCCCATCTGATTCCCTTCTTCCCTGGAGTCGTTTTCCCCAAGCTGCCTTGTCAACCATGGCTGGTAGTCTATCGTCCGACATTCTACTTACCATGTATGTACTGCCAATTCAACTTCTGCATGTCTCTCTTTGTTTTAAGAGAGTACATTCCCAATTCTGCTCGCAATACAGTGTTGCTCGTTGTACTTGAACATCCTAGTATTTTCTTGGCCGCTGCCATCTGCACCGTTTCCAGCTGCTTGACGGCCTTTTCGTTACCTTCCCATACCTCTCCTGCATACTCTAGCTTAGGTACAATCACATTCAAGAGAATACACCTCTTAATCCTTGTGTCTAGGTGTGGGTCCGTAAGTATCTCGTCCATCTTGCCTATCTGAGCTTTACCCTTCCCAACCAACTTCGCTATGTGTGTGTGCGTCCCATGAGCACTCCTTCGAAATCTCTACTCCCAGGTACGTATACTTGTCTACTACCGGTAGTTCTTCCTCCCCCCATTTCCATTTGAATTCTACAGGATTTTTCTTGTCTTCGTTTCAGACCACTACTGTACTGCGCATTTTCCTACGTTCGCCGACAGTCTCCATTTTCGGGTGTATCCTACCGCCGCATCTATTTGTTCTTGCAACCCTTCTGGTGTTTCGGATACCCCCACGAAATCATCTGCAAACATCAGTCCGGACACACTCTTTCCCCTATTAGATATATTGGGAGTACTCGTAGCATAGTATGACGGTTGAGATGTCCGGTACGTACGTACGAAAGTAACAGTGATGAGATGCGGAGGGATAGGAACTTTCTACATATATTCCTTGGTTGCGAGAGGTATTTGGTGGAGATTCAGAGAGATTCGTTGAGTGACAAAGAGTGAAGGCGTGCCCAGATACCGTGAAGGTTTGACGAGCACTGGCACGCCCCCGATGAACGCAATACTTTCCAATACTTTTGCTTTACGTTTTCAACACGTTTCCTACCCATACACGCTCCGCCATGAGCCACCCGCTTTGAGCTCCAACCACAAAGAACCGAGCCACCCGAATTATCGATCACGCTAGCGGTATGACACGTCGTCTACGAGATTCGCGGTCGAGCTTGGTTTAGGAGCATCGCCTTGCGGCGATCGACAGCAGGGTCAAGATGGCCTCCAGGCGCGAAGATGAATCCCGCCCAGCAGCGGAAGCCCGCCAAGCAGCGGAGGACGCCAGGATCGAAGAACTGGTCAACGAGCGAGTAGCAGCTCGGATGAAGCAGCTGATGGAGGAGAAACTGGCCAAGAAGATGGCCGAGATGGAGGTGCGGCATCGAGCCGAGCAGCAGCGGGGAGGAAATGAGGAACAAGAGGCAGCACACCAGCAAGATCCTGGGCGCCCAACACCCAACCCCTCCGCAGACGAGCTGGCCGACGCGATTGCGACTGCCATGGCCGGTCGCCTCCAAACCTCAGGGGATATCGGTGCAGTGTCTCACCCCGCAACTCTTCGTATGACTGAGAGTAGAAGAATTGAGCCTTGGGATGGTGTGTTTAAGTCGGGGGACAGTAGGCAGCAGAAGCTTTTGATTTTTCGATCGAGCATGGTAGCACGCTTTGCGCAGGAGGATGTTCACGAAGTAGTGATGAGCAACCAAGACATCCCAGTAGGGAGGCAGGGGATCAGTATGACTGACCTGAAGACTGAGTATGGCGAACAAAAGGTAGCCAAGGCTATAGTGGCATGGAATGTGCTAATCACGTCAATCTCGTACATGCCGATTCTGTCGGAAATCGTGTCGGACGGGAGCCCGAGTGGTGGCTGGAGGATTTTCCTCAAATATTACGAGCCACAAGCGAAAGCGGAGAAGAAAAGACTTTTGAAAGAGTACCATGGCTTCGCAATGCATGCAAACGAACATCCACAAGAGTACTTCGGTAGGTTCTCTATTTTGCGGAGTAGACTAGCGTCGCACGGGACAGTGTATCCTGACAACGAAGCAAACGACCACCTAGTGTCTGCACTCTCGTCCGACTACAAGATAGAGAAGAAACTTTTGGACCGCACCCCTGATTTGACTTTTGAACAGATTGAGGATTCCGTGAAGGAGGCCCACACGGACCTGGTGCGCGCACGGGAGGAGGAGCAAAAGAGTGGCGTGGGGCACGCCTTCGTCGCTTCCGGTGCGCCCCGGGGCGACGGACGTGTCCCAAATGGGTCGAGTGGGAACGGCGGCGGACAGGACGGCAAAGGCGACGGTCGGAGCAGGAGCGACGAGACCAGAGGAGACAGGCGCTGTCATTTTCATCCGTGGTCAAACCACACCAACGCGGAGTGCTACCAACAGCAGCGGGAAAAGGAGAGAAAGCAGCGGCAGCAGCAGCGGCGGCAGCAGTCATCACAGCAGCAACAACAACAGCCGCAGCAGCCTCAACAGCAGCATCCGCAGCAGTCTCAACAGCAGCATCCGCAGCAGCCTCAGCAACAGCAGTACTACCATCCTCGTCCCCAACAGCAGCAGCAGCAGCAGCAGCAGCAACAAGGCGGCCGCGGTGGGGGGGGCTGGCGTGGTGGACCCCAGCACGGACCTCATGGCGGACGCGGAGCGCAGCAAAGGTATGGAAACTCTGTCCCCCCTCGCCCGCAGCAGCAGCAATGGCGACCCTCGCACGGGCATGCAAACGTGATGCACCACGAACACGGTGCACCGCCCTACGGGGGGCCCGCAAATAGTAGCGAGTATGGGGGTTGGGAGCAGCCGCAGCCACAGTACCAGCAGCCTCCGCCTGACTACACCCAGCAGCAGCAGCCGTACTACCCGCCACCGACGCCTTACTACGAGCAGCAACAGCCGCCGACACAGCCTCCGCCTCCGCCGACGTTCCAGCAGCAGCAGCACTCGACTCATGCCCCGCCCCACTCCTCTCCTCCCGGAGCAGCAGCACCGGCCCCGGGCTCCCTCCACTTCTTGATGGCACGTTTCGTGTCTGCAGGCGAGATTGTTCCGAGTGGTGTTGTAGCGAGTACCGAGCGTGAGAATGGTAATGGATTTGCTTTGTCTGCGCAGAACTCGCTTTCCCATTTTGGTAGAGAGAAGTTTTGGGCCGACAGCGGTGCCACGAACACCTTTGTTAGCAGTAGCCACCACATGTTCGATTTGAGGCCAGTGCCGACTGGTAAAGAGTACATACAGGTTGGAAACGGTGCTTATTTGCGCGTGCAGTGTGTGGGGAAGGTCAACATGGCCTTTCACA